GGGGGGGGGGGTTGTTGTTTCAAACATCATGTTGTTTCAAACCTGTATGATTTCCTTTGTTCTGTGGAACGCAAAAGAAGATATTTTAAAAAAAAAATGTCTCAGTGCTTTTACAATGAAAGTCGATGGGGCCCAATGTTGTTTTGACTTTCATTGTGTGGCATACTGGTTTGAAATGACATGAAGGTTGAGTAAATGATGAGAGAATTATGTATCTTTAAGTGTATCCGAAGTTTTTTTCTGCATTCACCCTTTCTAGTGAGCTATCAAATGACTGAAATAATACATATTATAAATATATAATTATAATAATCAAATAATAATATCTCATTGTATAATAAGTTAATAAATAATATATCTTGTTGCACTCATTATAAATCATTGGCTTAGTAACATTCAGCAAAATCCCCAAATCATGCTAAAAAGGTAAGAAATACTAATTATGTAAACATGTATATCTAATAAAACAGGGTTAGACTTAAACAACTTCTCTACACATCTCTAAACATAATTTCCATCCCGAACAGTTTAGCTGTCTTACTCCGACTGGAAGCAAACAGCTAAAGTACAAACCAATGGTGGCATAAATCAGCATCCAAATATCTGCAACCAAACAATCAACAGACCAGCTAAAATCGGTTTGCCAATGAGTAACGCATCATTCAAGATGAAGTAATATGCCATTTCCGCAAAATGTGCACTTTCTTGTAAGTTGCTTTGGTAAGCAAGTGTCTGCTCAGAACATAAATGTAAATGTGATGTAAACATTAGAAAGAATGTGTCATAAAAAAACTAGAAGATTCTAATTGAAAAATGCTACTAAAAATGACATGATTTATTTGCAATCAAAACAAAGGAACAGAGATTTACTAAGATGTTTTTATTAAAAAAATTATGCACCTCAGAAAATGATCTGGAATGGAAAAATGCTAAGCTTGAGATGTGTTGTCAAAAGTAATAGAATGTTTTTTTAATCTTTGTGTAGATATAAATGGCATATAAAGTCCGTACAGTGTCATAAATAATTCAACTAATGCTTGAATGAATCTCTACCACGTCTATAATGCTACTAAAAAGATAAAGGTTCATTTCATCAAGCTCAAGAGTCTGTTACAATGAATCTCATTGTATATCGCCCATGAGTCAAATCAAGTTAGCATTAATTACCTCTCAAAATCCCCAAACAGCTCATTTATCTGGCCACACTAGAGTTAGCCAATCTGTTCAACGATTGATGCTACAGTAGCAGAAGTCTCCCGCAAAGCAGAATTTGAGCTAGACCGGTATCCTTTCAGGTTTAGACATAGAAAACTTTCATCATTAGAAACCGACAAAATAAGTTGCAAATCCAATGTGAGAGTGAATGCAAGTGGACCGAAACATTTACACCACTTAAATAGCTATTTTGGCTCAAAAATGCTCTCATGCATTCCAATCCTCATGAAAAAGTAACATTGGAAACTGAATCCAAAATATGACAATATGTTTTATATCTGTATATATATTCTGTTGCGTGCATATATTGGGCAATTTATTCAAAATTACTAAAATTTTATAATACATTGTGCAATATATGCTATTATATTATATACAGGTTTTTTTTTTTTTTCATATTACAGTACATTCCTAGCTTTTTGGATATTCATTTCGATATTATTCTTTTGTATGAAGGCTTTAAATAAAAAAAGGAACACAATTTGTATGTAATTAAATAGTTAGAAAGCACCATATTTGACAATTGCCCAGTGAAATGGATCAAAAATACTTAGATAAGCACATCTCCCAACTGAACGAGATGATCAGTCGCCTCTATAACAGTGTCTTGTGACACACATCTAACTTTAGAATAGAATACCTAACTTTAGCAAGTAGGTCTCATCTAGTTACTTGATTTACAAATAAAACAACAATTACAAGTATGAACAATCAAGTCTTTGCTCAAAATATAAAGCCATTCACACAACGCACAAATGAGACGGCTCAATCGAGGTTCGGCAATCTGAGCAGGTCTCACGGCACGACGTTAAGTAAAACGTGTCGAGCTCCGAATTGCTAAAAGCTTAAAATGGTGTTCTCTTCGACAATCAATCCCCTGATCCAAATCTACATCATCCACAAAGGTCGACCTTTTTGATGGCGAAAAGGTGCAAATGAGCACTTGATGCACTGGTCTGTCATGTGTAAGCTAACGTTACATCCCGACAAATGAAATTAAATCTTCACAATATGGCAGCTGCGGCTACAACATTGCTTCCCTTTACCAATCAATATGTACGCTCCACAGCTCTCTTAACTGTAGACTGGCGCTCGCTGAAGTTTTAACGCTCCGATGGTAGTCAAGTCACAGCAGAAAAGTACGCTCACGTTAGCAAAATTTGGGTGAAATTTCACAAGCGAAAAGGGCCATTGTCCGATGACCAACTTGAACCCATTGCAAAATTTGCATGAGGAAATCATTCGCCGCCACTTTGAAATTCCAAATTGCATGGATTCCTATTTCGAATGAGAAAATTCGACAAACAACAGTAAATGTGACCGCACTTGAAGGCTTATCAGACAGATGCAGGATGGTGTTAAAATCCTAAAACATCAATTACTGAGGTGTTCAGGAGATAAGGTGCGTGACATTAGCGAAATTTCACACACACAAAAAAGTTCAATTGTCAATAGTGTAGTGATGAATGAAGCACATCTCACACTGAAGTAACTTTCAAACCCAGCAGTGTTTCTTTTGGGCAACACGCCAAATCCGAGTGACCAATTTGAACCCAATTTGGGGAAATCTTTAACCCTTAAACGTAATTCCCTATCGAGCAGATTCCCATTGAAATGACTGCGTTTTGCCCTGCACAACAGTAGCATCAAATGTGAGTGTGGTTAAAAGTGACTACTGTAACTACTACACTATTGATAATAGACCTTTTCGTGCTCATGAAACTGTGTCGAAACTTCGTTAATGTGACCACACTTAAAAGCAGCAGCCATTGTCTGATGGAAGATCACATTAATAATATAATATTAACAGAGTTCAGTCAGAAGACTTTTGATAGCACCTTACGTAGGCTGTTAAAATGCCTATAATGTGGTGATTGGCCATTGGGAGGGGATTAGCTATGAACCACGTCCCCATAACCCCTTAAACCTGCGAGTTGGAGGTCAAGGGTTAGCCTTCACTTGATGATTTAAAATCTTTTCCCAGGCTGAAGAAACAGTACAATGTTCAGCCATTTGATGCATTTTTAGACATTTTTCAAATGTACAAGCTGACTGCACATCTGTTCAAGTGATAAGACACAGAACATGCCACCTCTCGTCTGACGGCCATTACATCCCCCTTTGACAATGGCTAGCACACTAAAATCTACATTTGCCCAGGTATGTCTGTTCAGACAGTGAAAATACATGTCTTTCTGTAGAAAAGAAGCACCGTTGGATGATAGAAACACAATAAAAACCTTTGGCCGCTGGGAATAGCCCTCTCATCCCAAAGAGATTCATCCCAAAGGGTCTTCAAAGAGGAGAGAGACAGGCGCTGGGTTGCCATTTCTGGTTTTACCAAAAAACAAAAACAAAAAAAAGGCTCGATAATGGCCTACAAAGGCAGTAGATTTCTTTTCTCTCTCTTTTTTTTGTCATTTAAACAGAAAAAACCCTAACAAACACAGAAGGAACAAGCATTTAGGAGCCCTACTAAGGCTGGCCAATGCCTTTTTTTATGTAAGGGGGCATCGCATATTGATGACGAAAATACTATAGTATATTATGGCACAAAATCCTATCCTCCTCACAGTACAGTACACTTTATAGTCTTATTGATTAAGGAAGCTGTAGTATTTTTGGCATTACTATAGTACTTTCCAATATAGCTTGATAACCAAGAGAAATGAGGTTGGTGTAAACTAAAAATGTCACTCACAGTAGTCACCAAGGTTTTGCTTCAGTGCTTCAAATTTGTGTTCAAAAAATATAGAAAGATGTAGCAGCTTCTGTAAGTACACATATTGTTTATCAAAAATTGCATTGGAATAAAATGTTCCCTTAGTGATTGCCGTTGCAATCCAAGCCTATGTCTCTGCCTGTCCTGTGGCTTTAACAGATGTTGTGCTTTGTAAGAGTGTTTCCATTTTCTCCTCAAATATGGAGTATCAGTGTTAGTATGTGAGTAGAGACACTAACAACATCCTAAATGCACACATAATCCTGTATGTCTAATTCCATTGCCATGATGCCTTTAAAAATTTGAAACATTACTTTGCTAATATACGTTAAAATTGAATATGCTACAGTTCAAAAGTTTAGGGTCAGTAAGACTTTTGTTAAAAAGAAAGTAATGCTTTAATTAAGGATGCATTACATTGATCAAAGGTGACCGTAAATATATTTATAAAGTTACTAAATGCTGTTCTTTTGAACTTTCTATTTATCAAAGAATCCTGAAAAACTGTTTCACGGTTTCCAAAAAGATATTAAGCAGCACAACTGTTTTTAACATTGATAATATTAAGAAATGTTTCTTGAACAGCAAATCAGCATATCAGAATGATTTCTGAAGGATCGTGTGACACTGAAGACTGGGGTATTGATGCTAATAATTCAGCTTTGCCACCACAGAAATAAATTACATATATAAAATATACTAAAAAAACACATTTATTTTAAAATGTAATAATATTTCACAATAGTGCTGTTTTTACTATATTTGTGATCAAATAAATGCAACCTTGGTGAACATATAAGAGTTTTTTTTTTTTTTTAAACCCAAACTTTTGAACAGTAGTGTACATTTCACTTTTCATGAATGGTTTGCAAATATGTACTAAACTTGCACTGTGAAATGACATTTGAAAATACAAGAATATTCTGACTGCCAATTACTACTGAGCTTGTGGTGATTTTGAGCTATACCTGTGAGAACCCTGTGGTCTACTGCAAGATATGGTTGAGACTATTGGCAGAATAAAATAGAAGCTTGACAGCTGTCCTCTTATCTGTCTAGAGTCACTAAATACCAAAGATATAATGAAGCACTTGATCGATCTTTCTGAATTTGAGGTAAATGAACTGGAGCAAAACCTTGGAACACAAGCATTTTCTTGTGATACATTAAGTGTAACGGAACAGAGAAGAGGAGTAAACCATTGGACTCGGTGTGGACATGAAGACGTTGGCTGGCTGAGCGAAGGTGGAAGGAGCTCAGAGTTTGGGGAGAGTGTGGCCTGTAATCTCTGGGACTTCAGAGGAGAGTGGCGTGGTCTGGGTCTGCGGTGTCCATACTAGCCAAAATGGCTTTCTGGTCTTCTCGGGGCGGGCGACGGTACAGCAGAGCGGAGAAGCGGGCGTACGGGTCCTGGCGAGTCAACTTTTTCTTCTTCTTGCGGAGGTAGAGAGCTTCTTCTGGCTGGAGGACCTGAGAGGTGTGGGGCTGCTGGGTCTGAGAGGGGGTCACACCTGTATTGAGAGCAAGACAGATGAGCACAAGAGGACAGATGTGCTGAAAGTGAGGAGAGAGGATAATAAAATATTACGGGTCTCTCTGACTCGACATCTAGAGGTCATATATATGCCCTAAAACTTTAGCTCATGGCACCGTTGTAAATCAGACAGTTCATCTGGTAAACTGAAACCTACGCTACTTTCATGTCTCCTTGCTCACTCTTGTTTTATACAAATGCAACTGGTGCCAGCTTGCATCATGGTTATAGACTGTAGTGAAAATGACCAGAGGATTTCAGTTTTAGTATAACTATTATAAGTGTTCGTCTTGTAAGCCAGTTGTTTTATACATAGTAATGGACTATTTTTTCTTAGTGGAAGCTTTAAGATAATGTACAAAGGTCTCTTTCTTATGCTCACCAAGGCTGCATTTATTTGATAAAAAATTCAGTATAAATATTAATATTGTGAAATATTATTACAATTTGAAATAACCGTTTTCTATTTTAATATACTATATTTTAAAATGTAATTATTTCTGTGATGCTAAAGCTGAATTTTTGAACAGCCACTACTAGAATATAATCATTCTAAAATGATTATTTGATGCCCAAGAAATATTTTGTATTATTATCAATGTTGAAAACAGTTTTGTTGATAATATTTTTGTAGAAATGTGATACTTTTTTCAGGATTCTTTGATAAATGGAATGTAACATTATAAAAGTCTTTACTGTCATCTTTAATCAATTTAATTGATCCTTGTTGAATAGTAAGTATTAATAATTTCTTTTAAAAAAATCTTACTGAGCCCAAAATTTTTAACAGTAGTGTACAGATTAAAATACCAATATATATCAAAATACATATCAAGTAATATCGATTATTAAAGGCTATGTGTCTAATCTAAAATATTTTGCGGCATATTCATCTGTCACTTGGTAGAAGCAAAAACAGGCAGATGCCTACATGGAGAGGTTGCATCACATACCATTATTCATGAACAACATCACGCAAAGTTGAAGAAAATACAGCTCACATTTCATTCGCTTGCAATTACGAAAAACATGTATTTGTTGGTTGCGGGGAATATGATTGTTTGCTGCCACTACTTGATAACAATGTCAAAAATGGGTCCTGAAGCAGATTGACACAAGTTGACATCATTTTAAAGCATCATAGGCATGCTATACCGACATGATGGCTGTACCAAAAGGACCCAAGCGACGCAAATCAGTCACTTACGATGTTCCATTTGAGTTAGCATACTTTCATAGAAGGCAGTATGCAACAAAAAACTAACTAGGTTTTGAAACATGGATTATGATTATGAGAAAAGGCACAATATGTGTTGTACAATTAGCTTATAGTATATGAATTAAAGTAGCTTTTAACTTGTTCCTCACCCATCTTTCGTCTGGTCTTGGAGTTGTTATTGTTGATGCCGACTTTCTTGACTTTTTTCACTCGTTGATATCTCAGTGCTTCTATCCTCTCAGACCCTGCAGAGCCACTTGGTGCACCTCGACGTTTTCTGAACAGAGAGCAAAGAAAGGCAAAGCCATCACACAAGGGACGTGTAGTGCGTCGGCTCTCCATGTATATTCAACTGGTCATAGTAGTGACCACATGGCCTCGCTCAGATTACCCATGAATCTCTTACACTCAAATGATCAAGACCAGGCTTGGTCCAGTAAAGTAAGTATGATGCAAAACATTTATTTGAGTGGAAAGAGGGGTATACTTAAGACTTTTCCATGTATTTCCTGCCCAAAATTACATTTGTAATTCTTTTGAATGGCAACTTTTCATCAAATCAACATTTAAACAAAAAAAAGTCAAGCTTATGCAACAGGAAGGCAAAACATAAATATTTTATCATATATTGTTAGGAAATGAGATTTGTTTAAAAATGTATACAGTACCTCAATATGGCAACATAATGTATGCATCTGTTTAAAGAGAAATTTTGAGAAATCATGACATAGATTTGGGTAATTCCAATGGATTAGCATACTTAAATACATATTAGAATAATACTGTATAGTGGTCAAGGGAAAAAAAAACACCTTTTTATACAAAAAGCTTTATAAATCCATTCTCAGACAGTTAAGTTTGTACAGTCTTCCCATCTAAATACAGTATGGAGGCACTTAAACCGGCAGCCCGCATACTCTGCCCCACACAAACACTCGCACACACAGCTCTCACGAGGCACAATAAAATAACAGAAATAGCATTATAGAGGCACCGTCCTTCTGCTGAGGCTGCCGAGAGAAATTAAAGGCCATTAGTAGAGGGGGGAAATCACAGCTCAGCGACAAAGCATTGTCAGAAATGTGCTCATAGACATGAATACTGTCTACAATGGGCTTCACCATGCTGACAGGGGGAGAGATGGCGGGAGGGGAAAATGGCTACTTGGGAACAGTCACATAATGAAAAATAAAACAAAGCACTTGGACAACAAATGTAACAAGAATTTAATCAGATATTTGTTGGTTTTTCAACTGAAGAGCAATATTTAGCAATGGCATGCATGGCATTTTGCACATGGAACAGAACTTTAAAGGGGAATACTCTGGAAAAGCACTTCATTGGGTGAAAGCCACAACTTAAAAAGGAGCATTTTCTAGTGCCAATAGTACTTTCCCCATTGTGAAAGAAGTGCAGAAACTGTTTTGGAAGAAAACTTGCTTCACATGATTGTGAAATGTGTTCTGCAGTCCAAACTTACACAAAACACGTGCAGTTTTATGCATATGCATACACTGCGTGTACACTAGATCAATCATGATTATATATTTTTTTTTTGTACATTTAATCATACAAGGTGTCTGTACAAAGCTAATGGGTTTTAAATCAATTAAATTAGTTTCAAGCAATAAAAAGCACCTACCTGAAATGAAGTATAACATGCAACTCTTGCTTGAGACGGTCCCTAACGACTGGTCACTTTTATCCAGGTTGAGCTAAAATTCCCAGCCACTGCAAGTAGTGTTATACTGTCATTTACTATAAACCTTTTTTTTTAAAGGCACATTTAACAGAAATCATACCATGAAGGTTACCATGAATATCAAACCATGCAGACTTTTTAAATGGCAGCTTCTCACAAAATCTAAATTTAAGCTCTGCTTTTGATATTTTATTTGTATTGCGTCTCAAGCATGAGGTTGTGTTGACCAAATGGTATGTGCTGGGTTTCCTAATCAATAACTGGGGAACGTACATATGCATACTAAGACAAGAATGCATACAGGCTTCAAGACTGCAGAGCTAAAATGTGTGGTTATTTGAAAATAAATATAAAAAACAAAACAAAACCATAAACTAGGTAATAAACAAAAGGAAAGCAAGACCCAAAGACTTGTATTCCCCTTTAAAGGACGAGGTGAATAAAAGCCCCACCTGCTGCCCCCCCCTTTCAGACATGGATCCAACCCTTACCTATTGCGGTGTAGAGGACCTGGTCACAACAACGCTGCCCAGATAGCTGAGATCAATCAAAAACAAAGCAGGTAAGACTCGAGGAGCCATCAAGAATGACCAAATGCACTATTTAAGATGATGACAACATTGCAACAGATGAGAGCAGACAGTCCCTGCAACACGATTCGCCCAACAAGCCTCCCCTTGGCAGTTAGAGCTGGGGTGACCTGGGTGACAGGAGGTGGGAGAGAGGGGGAGTGTGGAAAAGGCAACCATGCGGTCAGGTTACTTTGGAACAGGAGAAGAGACCTGTTGTGCTGGACACACCAACCTCAGCCTCCACATCATACATTCTGAGAGTCGTCCTAAAAAGCCTGGAGTTAGTCAAAACGGTGGGCTTCATTTGGACTGGGATTGGTCAATTTTATTGCACATGTGGGGTTCCTCCTGTTGGGTGAAAGGCAGGGTAAAGCATGACAGTGAATGGAAAGGCTGAGATCCTGTAGTTGTGTCCCTCTGATTCCAGGCTTTTTAGGGGCTTCGTTATTGCATTTTAAATAGACTTCAAATAGAACCTCTCCAGACACGTAGCCCTAAAAGGTCTGTCACCATGTCTGTGAAGCAAATAATTCATCAAGTCTTGACTTGGAATCTGTTACCCCACAACCACTTTGGTTAGTTGCTCACTTTGGTTTTAAGACAAGTGCTTTAAAGTGCTTCACAGACCTTATGAATGAAATTGGATGTCTGACATGAAAAGCAGCATTACATAGAAAACTAGAGCACAACTTGTCTATGTAGAAAATGGTTTTGAATGGTTTTGAATAATGTAAGGCATCAGGGGCAGTGTAACTATGAAAGCATGAGTTCTAACATTCCTAAAAAACAAGCTTAAGGCAAGCAAACACAATTTTGCCCATGTGAGCAAACTGTAGCTTTAGACTAAAATTAAAAGTGTGGTTACTTTTGCACTGAGACCGCTGAAAGGTCCTAGATGTTACACTTAGGCCAGATGGTACATGATTTATCAATCCACACGCTACAGGTCTAGTGCACCTACCCTGAAGCTGATAACTGGGGTGGAGAGGGTTCTGACGGAAGGATCTCCTCCTCAGTCCTCCTATGGGTTGGCATCTGCCCAAAAATGTTGCTGCTTTCTACAGGAGGTGAAGGGGACTGTGACGGATAGCTTGCCACTGAGGTGGCAAATGCCATGTGGGATCGGTAGCTGGGACTTGCCCTTCGGCTACCTTGGCCTTGAGCAGGAGAGGAGGAGGGCGAGGACCTCCTAGAGAAGCTAGCTGAAGACGGAGGTTGAAGGGTGATCTCAGACATCTCAGGAGGGATTGGGGGTTGGATGACACTGGGACGGGGCCTGGGTCGCACTACAATCTCCGGTGAGCCTTCGTGAGAGCTAATAGGGCTCTGAGTTAGAGGTGAGAGGCGGGATGGTTGGAGAACAACCATGCTGGGTTCCATCCTACGGGGCTGCCTGGGGCTAAGCCTGGGTGTAAGCTCGTACCATCGGGTGTCCAGGCTTCCGAACGAGCTTGGGCCAACCATGTGAGACACTGGGTCAGGGTAAGGCAATACCGGTACACCCATACCGTGGCTTGTGTGTCTTAGATGCCCTAGACTCTGTGCCTCTTGCATAGGTAAACGCTTGGCTGGAAGGCCCTGAGGCTTGACCTTGCTGGGAGACTTGCCGGGGCGGCACTTTGGAGCCCCCAGCTGCAGGATACCAGGGTAAGGAGATACTTGAAGGGTGGAGGGCTGGAGAGCACTAGGTGGAAGAACAAGAGGGGGAGGAAGGGGAGGTTCTGGATGAAGATGCAAAGGGTGTGGGGGTGGAAAAATAAAGTGAGGACCCTCAATTGTGGCAAAGGTGAAATCGGGTCGTTGCCAGATGTCTGGAGAGCGTGAGGTGGAGGGATGTGCCAAGGGAAGGGTGTAGCCAGAGACTGCATAATGCTGAATCTCTCCCTCACCGATTTCCTCCGGAATGGTGGGATGGCCGAAAGGTCCCTCCAGGTGGTAAGGAGGAGAAGACATTACTGAGCTGAGAGGGCTGGTGTCCGGCATGTAGAAGGGGGGTGGAGGCTCAGGTTCCCCTGGACTTCCCAAATAGCTGTAGAACTGACCATGGGAAAAGGCTCGGAAGTGAGGAGCACCACGGATCTGCCCTGTAGCCTGGAGTCGACTGGTCTCCATGATAGTCATGCCTTCCATGGGCCTCTGAAAGCGGGGACTGTAGGCTGGGGGCTGCAAGTAAGACTCCTGGCTAGAAGAAATGGGGGAGATCTGATGGGGTCTGAGGGTAGCCATCATAGGTGGCATTGGCCCTGGATCGTCATTCTCTTCATCTGACTGTCTAAATTCAGGGTACAGGTCAGATTCCTCCACAAAGGGGAAGCCCTCAATGCGCCGTGCCTTAACCGGAGTTTCCATATCTGTGGGATCCATGACAAAGCGCCCATCTGGCCCACGACTGATCAATTCAATTGGTGTGGTAGCCTCCGCCTCATGCTTAGAGACGCTGTATTTCTTGCTAATTATTGCTCTCTTGGTCTTCTTGTATAAGGACAGCTCCTTCTCCTTGGCAGGACTTTGAGGAAACTTCTTAGCACGTAATCCATCCTCTGAAGACTCTGAAGGAGGTCCTATGGAGTGGATGCTTTCTGGACTTATCTTTCCAGAAGATGACCTATAACAATGGGAAAGAAAAAGAAAGAAGAACAAATGTTGAGTTATGATCATTGTCGTTTCAGGTATAAATACGTCATAGACAACTGGACTTTTTAATGATGTTTCATCACTCATCTAAAAGGCCTCATCTGTTATCCGCTGGGGAGAAATAGCTGTGAACACACTTACAGTACACCAAATTAGACCAACACACAGTGTGAAAGATTCTTCTCAGATGCACCCAAGGTACCTCATACACAAAACTTATGCATAGCACATGATAATGTGTGAAAATAAAATGCAAACACCTAGTTTAATAGTTCAATTATAAATTTGGTATTTAGATACAAATTACAATAAACTTTTATAGGGACACACTGGATTGATCTAAGATGTGTTGCTTACGGTCACAATTGGGGTCCAACCTTGTGATTTCTAGCACATGGTCCACCATTAGGCTACATCACGCCCACAACTCCCAAAGCAACAACAGGTAAGCCTGAAGTGAACTATAAAATCCAACAGTGCATATACATACACATTTGCTTATTTACTTGAATTTCAATGATTGCCATCATTGATCATAACACAACGAACTGTTTCAGAAACTATTCTGACATTTTAATTTTAGATAACCTGTTTACCTCTGTGTAAGTTTCTGCTTTTGGGTCTTAGAATGTCAGAATTAATCAGAATGATCATTGAAGTGGTTTGTTTACTTTAAGGTCACAATCATGGGAGTTAAATGTGACCTATGATTTAGACTATATACAAGTTTATCTTTTCAAGGCATCTTTATGCTATCTTACATATAAATAGAAACAATTAGTTATCTTCAAATTAGATTGAAAATGATATCTAGCACAATGGTCTTGAAAAGATTTACATTGTAATTCTAGGCCCCAGAAAGTTGCACCCTGACAACCATCAGAGAAATAACATTCAATTAAAAAACAAACCATTTTGAGCTCTATATGAAATAAATATGTGTTGTTGTTGTAATTTTCACTCTTTTTTTTTCTGGATATATCTTGTCATAACTCATCCTTGTTAAGCCCTTATACTCTCCAGTCACCACTGTTTGAATATCATAACTAATTCAGTTTTAACACTATTGTTTCCTCAAAAATTAAGAATAGTGTTTGTGTGAGTGAGTTGTAGACAAAATATATCAAAATAAATATTAATAATAGAAGGTGACATTTTCAGAGACATTCAACTGAGAGTATCCATGTGACCAAACAACGAGAAATAACAAGCATAGTCCAGAAAAGAAGAGAGCAAATCAGGAAATGTTATAGACATAATACTTTATTCAGTAACAAATGTACATGTAATGGCTGAAGCTTTGTTTTTGCTGAATCATTACAGCATGCACTTTCACTTGTAATGGCTGCGGTGACGGAGCTTGGTTTCCATGGCAACTGCCTATTGATGACCACCATTCAGGTGCAATGACGTTATGCTTGCTCCAAGCAACAATACAGTGAACTATTAAGCAGGCTTTTCCCAAGCCAAGCAGAGGGAGCACACAATACACACTCTTCGGTAAAACAAAAGTCCACACTTTTCAACATTGTTCTCACAAATGTTTAAAGGCATAATATACAAATATGTCTGTTAAGAAAATGAAACGAAATCTAAACACACAGACAGATCTTATTATATATTGACTTGCTTATCAACAAGGCTTTGCTTTCATTTTGCAAGAGTAAACATGTTTTGGATAAAAACATTGATAAAACATCAGAGATTCAATGTGTTTTAACTGTAATTATCCTTATCAGCTGATCATTTCAAGTTGCTGTCCTGCTAAATGTGTTGTGATGAAAGATAAAGACCCCATATCACTGACAGAAAGATGGTATCAAACCGTATAAAGAGGTAAACAAAATGAACCGTCTCTGTCTTTACTTTGCCTTCCATGCTAATTTCTCCTGGAACTTCATAATGAGTTTAAACAATCTTCAAACCGAGACTCAATTCAGATTCTACTGTACATGGGAAATTCATATAGTTGTTATATTAGGTCACACCATTCACAATCTTTCTGGACTAATTAAGCTGAGCATTCAAGAATGATTGTCAGGCATTACAATACCACAGTTCATACTGTGTTTGGCACAGAATATCTCATTAAAAGCTCATTCTACTACATTGACTGTAAAAGCAATTCCAAATAACCACACAAAGTGCATAAGCTTCACAATATACCAAGATAGTGCAATGTTTACCATTTATATAAGTTAAATCCACTAACAAAACAATAAATAACAAACAAAAAGCAATTTGAACACTGGAACACCAGTTGCTGCACGTTAACCTCTGGTGTGTAAGGGTTTGTTGGTGACATACAGGCAGTGGTTCAGATGATTGGGAGGGAGAAATCTGAAACAAACATTATGGGGTGAATAAGACACATGAAATAGAGTGCAAGCCACCCCTTGGCGGCCTGTGGTCTTCATGTGTGCAGATATTTAAACTAAACTATACTGTCAATTTTGAATGTGTGGAATCATACAAGTTGCTTAAAAGATAGATAGATAGATAGATAGATAGATAGATAGATAGATAGATAGATAGATAGATAGATAGATAGATAGATAGATAGATAGATAGATAGATAGATAGATAGATAGATAGATAGATAGATAGATAGATAGATAGATAGTGCTAAGAAGAACTGAGTATAAACTGTAAAGGCTTAACTAAATAGAGAAGTGAAAGCATCACAAGAGAATCAAAACTCACATCCACACACTCATCTCACACACCAAGTATGTCATCTCAAAGCCAAGGCCCAGCCATGTAATGAGTGACTTGACTTTGGGGAGCTGTATTAAGTTTGATTCAGAGATGATTGTGTGTAAAATATTTGTAAGAAATTTCGACAAAAAGCAAAATAATTTAAAGTGCTTGCTCAATTATGTATAAAAGAGAGTGTTATGAAAAGCTTCCATGACCAACTTGACCGAGTTCTGTGTAGAGGATTCCACAGCTCTTAATGCACTGCATCATTATCAAATTAAAGGTGCTGTGTCGCCCTCTACAGGACACATTAAAACCGATGCTTTAATCAAATTAAAGGTACACTCCAGGTTATTTTCAACCCTAAAATCTATAGACTGTATGTTTGGTTCTATCAAACAATGTTGAAGGTATATACACATAATGGAAGCCTAGTAGGTTGTTGATAAAATTCCCAGGACTCAGGACCAAGTTTTATAGGTTTGCCCAAAGTGTAGTATATAGACTATATAGAGCATATATGACTTTTGTTTTCTTCCATTTTTTAAATTGTATTTATATAGCGCTTTTCAGAATATGCATTATTTCAATGCAGCTTTACATAAAATCATAATGTTTCATTATAATGTTAATTATATCATTAGGCCCTGTTTACACCTGGTATTAAGAAGCTTTTTCGTCAATCAGATCACAAGTGAAGTGGATGATGCTATATACAGGTGTAAATTGGGTCTAAAACATTTTGAGCTTGTCCACTTTCGACAACTTCCAGAGCTCGTCAAAAAATGCATTTGTCCGGATTGCTTCCATGGTGTAGACGCTCATGTGGTCGAATGCGTTCGAACCAGTGGCGAGGCTACATTAGGCCCACTCAGATTGATGGCTGGTCCACCCAATCAAATGAGACACAAAATTTTTTTTTTTTTGGTGGGGAAAGGAGTGCTATGTGACAATAACAATCACTCATATACATGAATTTAGCAGATTGGACTTTGGATCCGATTGACCAAAACGTATCTTAATACCAGATGTAAACAGGGCCTATAGTTGCATTTAGCAGATTAGAGCTGAGCGATTATATAGTTTACATTTTGCCATGACACAAGCAATCAAGCAGTATAGATATGCTATATGCCCTACATGAGTTTACTGTATATGCGGATAAAGTTGGACATTCTATATCCAACTTTATTTAAAGAGCTGGGTGATAGTTAGTTACATCTTGCGATGAACAATTGCACAGCCGAGATTAGCTTATACAGTATATATACACGTAATTATGCAGTACATGCGACTGTGTGATAGAATTGAAATGGTAGTAATGTAATGTAACTATACCTATACTTTTACATTACGTGAGCTTAGAATTATAAGGTTCTATCTCCGTTTAGGGTAGGTCTGAGATATTGAGCGTCAAAGTTTTTACATCCCTGCTGGTTTGTGAGATGGAACCTTTTTATTTTATTAATAACTACTAACATATTTTTTTTTTTTTTACAAAAATAACACCACACAGGCATTAATAAACACCTAATGGATAAGATTGTCAAAAACTCAATTTCGACCAAAAGTGGAGATAGAACCTTATAATTCTAAGCTCACGATTAGTTAAACTATGCAAACTCCACTCTGAGAAATTCTTTTTGTAATTCATAACCACTTACTCCACCTAGAGAACAAGTTTCACCACAAAATAATAATTTTAAAGTAAACCACAAACATTAATTGAGCATTCATGTTTAAAATAACACAAGTTTTACATTTTTGATTAGAAAACATCTGGCACACTTGCCTGCTAGGCTCCCATTATAAATGTATAAAAGTATACATGTAAATGTGTTTATACAAACATTATACACACTAAAACAGAAATCAAGTAAAAAAAACAAAAAAAAAAAACAAAAAAAAAAAACAGAAAGCACCTTTAATTTCACAGAGCTAAGCGTAAATGTGTGAGTCGGGCCAAAAGGCAACAAATTCTTAAGTTTTGTGGGTCTCCAGTGTGTATAGCGCATGGGTTCACAGCCTGCCAAAACAACCGTGCCCAGCAGCGCACATGGGACGCATGCGACATAAGGCAGTGCATACTGCTGAACAAGGTGCAGGCACTCACAGAGGACTGGAAGGCGGAGGCCTGTAGCTGCTCCTTTCCTGGCCTTCCCAGAAGGGTTCTATGCCAGGTAGAGGGGTAAGAGGACTCCTGTGGCAGGAAACACAATAGAGACGGGAGGGACGGGGAGGGGAGGGGTCATGTTGGCCATCAACGAAGCTGCTTTCCATACAACCAACATAACAGGAGAAAAAAACAGTGACATGGAGAGATAGAAGTGAAGGAAAGAGGAAGGCAGAGCTTCAGGGCATAAGAAATGATAATGATCGCGGGCACTGGACTGTTCATTTATTAAATGACACTCTTAATCATCTTTCACACATTTTAAAGCATATGCATGCAGGGATGTCAAGGCCAGCTTGGATCCATGCAGTCTCCTCGTTTTGATATACCCGTTGACATTCAGAGGCTTATTTGAGATTCCTGGCAAAAGCAGCTGATATACAGTGGAGTGCAAAGATCTGTGACTAACTGTTTCAGGTTGCATAAAAAATAAATAAAAACAAAAAAACATGAACATGTATGTGTGTGTGTGTGTGTGTGTGTGTGTACCGTGCTGGCAAAATGAGTCGTAATGAGCAAATTTTCAAAGATGAGTTGTTGTTATTTTCACAATCTCTATTAAAACAAAATGATGTATGATTTGTTGGAATCATGCAAAAAATTACTGAGCTACACCTGTTTGAAGTCGATAGAGTCAGCAATGTCAATTTGGAGAAAAATCGAGTTAACTTTTTCTTAATGTTTAAAAAAAAATCACCTAGCAACCATACCTTAAAATCCCTGGTTATAACACCAAATTTGGCACACACCAAGTCAAAACCTAATATCTAGAAAAAATATGTATTCACCTTTTTTTTCCCATGATACCACAATTGTTTGATTAACATTAATTAGACAGGCAGCCTATAGCCTATATTAAGACCTACTGTACTGCACGGATCTAATATAACAAACATCAGATGTTTTTCCCCAACAGTTAACCAAAAGTTCACTTAAGACATAACAGATAATGTTTGCGTGGATACTCGCCAAGACTGATATTTTGAAATACAGTAATTCTGTACATGTATATCGGGATCTTTTACTGTCTATAGAGCTCCGGACGTCACGTGACCTACTCTGTTTAAACCGCCATATTGGCAGGGAGGAGGCGCTCAGGCGGTCCGGGACCGGGACGTGAATGAATGACGGCAGCATGAGTTTCAAGGCAACAGAGTTCATAGCACACTTTAATTCAAAATACATAGACTTGTACATAACAAAACTTAATAAATTAAATATAACAGATCCCTATAATGCCCCCGGGGTGCTTTTCATGTGTATTGATAAAGGAACTGATAGCTTTCCTGAAAGAATAGGATGAAGAAGAGTCAGCCTCCACAGAACATAAAATATTATTTTTTATTTTATTTTTCGTGTTCGCATTTATGAGGGAAAAAAAAACAATGTTACGGACTTGACAGTTCTCCGTTATGGACATGATAACCGCTGTGAAAGTGACTTTAAAACTTTCACGGACTTCAGAAAGCACAAAGCCTTTCTTTAAAGTAATTGTATCTTAATTTTAATTAATGCTTCATCAACCAATTACCTAGATTTAATAAATAAGAAGTAAATATAGAAGACAATAGATAAGAAACGGAGGCGCCGGCGGTGAACTGGACTCTTGTCTCATAAATGAACCGAAACTCAGCGTATGTAGGCTACTTCACAGACCTGATAAATGTATAGAAAGCTTGATGTCTACTTTTAAACAGAACATTTAAAAACGAAAAACAGGCTGATCTCTGCATATGTAATCCGTATTAAATCTGCATTTCTCTCTGGCGCGTTACTGTGAAGATTGCGAGTCAGCATCGTCAACTTCATATCTTGAAGCCGACACACTGACACAGAAAAACCTTGTTTATTAATAAACAATTAAAATGTCTCCTTGCTATATTTGACATATTCATAATCATTACCTTTGCCGGTTCTTTGTGGCAGCTTTTAGATACTTTGGAGCGCCACCCTTGTTACATGAACGCACCATGCATCAGCACCGAAAACGTGATTTAAAAAAAAAAAAAAAAATTATCTAAAATAAAAAAAATCATGATACGAACAGAATTGTAGGTTTGGTCTATTGTTACAGCCTTAGTAAGATGAGAAAGCAGGAGTTTAGTCGTTTGTTAGTTGTAAAAACAAAACAAACAATGGCTATCTGAACATCTTTGCCAAGCGCAAACCAGTACAGAAGTAATCAATAAATTATCGGGGAGGGTCATGCTTTTTTTTACAATCGTTTTGGAGGGTCATAGAAAAATTATTTAGGCCTACTGGCGAAGGGAGGGTCAAGTCTTTTTTGACTTTCCCAAGTTTTTCCCAGACATGAAAATATCCTAATGATGTGTCATTAGTTGTCCATTGAAATAATCAATAAAATAAAAAATTGTTTATGGAAAGTGTGTGAAAATTTTTGTTTTATGGGATAATGATAGGCTACTATATCTTTACTGTCACTATTGTAAAATTATTCTTTTATATCCTTACGGTGGGATTAAATGGGTTAATCAACAGTTTAAACATTCCCCAAAACCATGTTGAAATTTTATGGTTTTAAAATTTAAATAGACTTTAAATCATTCGACCGCTATCGATATCACTGCTACAGCCGCTCTGGCGCTCTCCTGATTTGCCTGCCAAAATGGCGGAGTTTAGATTGCGCAACGTCAGCTTCCGGAGCTCTATGGGTCTGATGTGTCTTTGTGAGCATGCTTCGGAAGTCTCAGTCAGCACGAGTAAGATCGTTTTGTTTACATTAGCATGAGTTTGAAAATCACATTTCATTGGTTCAAACTCATGCCATCGAGAATTCGCTATGAATATTCACAAATTTGGAATAATGTGCTTTAAAAAGATACCAAACTTTTGCTGAAGGGAAGCACCAATCGCCGAGAAGCGCGCAGAGAAAAACAGTATTTTCAAAGGAAAGATATTCCTCTCCTGCCTGGTTAAAACCAGACCATTCTCAGTTGTAACTGAGTTATGGTCTGGCAAAGCTTCATAGACAAATCATTTCCAAAGGGGCGTCACAACGGACGTAGCTCAAATGCCTCTGGGCGCAATTGGATAGAGCTAAAAACAATCAGAGCGATGAAGGAGATGACGTGTGCAGAGCGACGTTAGTCTGTTATAGAACAACTTAGTTTGAATAAACGAGCAGACACTGATTAGCTACTGCTCTACGTTTATTTAAAATTAACAGCAAGACAACTAGAAGTGAATGTGCTTTCCATTAAATGAATCACACACAGTAAACAAAACCTTAACAAAAAAAACTTTGCCATTTAGACGCGCAAACTGGGTGCCGGTGCGGTGAGACTTACATGCTCAGGCAGATTCGGCTTGAAGTCGGTCATCCTCGGACGCGGCGCCTTCGCGCTCGTGCGGACACGTCGAGTATAAACAAGGCTTTACTCCGTGTCGGCGCGCGCTCTGATCGGTAAAGGGGCAGAGATTTCAGACCTCTGTTTAATTAAGGAGATCTCCAAGATTTCTCTTCTTGGGAGGGGTGCACAGACCTCTCCTGAATCATCTCCAGCAGTAGCAGCCTCCGAAGCACCACTAACTCCGCCTCCGTTTCCCTCGTAAGCTGATATTAGTATTTAAACATTATCTATGATAAAAAATGTTTGTGAAACAAATATTTTAATAACATGGTTTTGGCGGTTATAGAGTTCTAATGACGGTGTTCAACTATAACCGTCACACCCCTAGTTCCACGGCGACATCCATGTTTGTAAATGTACAAAATCTGCTTCACCGTTGCTGTGCTGTCGTCATCGTGTAAAGCCCGCCCCAACGTTTCTGATTGGTGCCGTGATTTCGACGGATTAGAAATGGGCTTGAATGAGCTCTTTGCCAGACTAACTCAAGAGGTCCTCGCTGCAGCCTGTAGCACGATGACGTAGCTGGATGGTCCAATACGTAGTGGACGCTGTTACGTGCATGCGCGGTGGTGTGTTTTGGTGACGTCATATATGCATGCGCACTAGTCAAGTCAAGTCATCTTCATTTATATAGCGCTTTTAACAATGTAGATTGTTTCAAAGCAGCTTTACAGAGATAAACATATAATTTAAGGTAACATTGTTTTGGCTTTATAGCGGTTCTTGAATAATGTTATTTTCCAGCTAAAGTTAGTTTTGGTTGATTCACTTCCGTCGAAATTATCATTTGTTATTAAATTAGGGGCCGCTAGCTAAGACGACACCGTTCTCTCTAAACAGACTTTAAACGAGAACCTGTGATAAACGCTGATGGCGTTCACATGCGCATTAAGAATTGATTCTATAGTTAGAGTAGGTGTAGAAAGTAGAGAGTTACTAGTAGAGAGTTGGTGAACAATCGCACGTGCTTTGATCTTCCAAGAAGAATAAAGTTAAATATAAATGGTCACTTGAGTATGGAAGCTCTTTTCCGCCACAGAATAAAACAAATCTAACCCTAACCCTTACATCTCGCATACTGACTTTATTTCTCAGAATTGTCAGATATAAACTCACAATTGCGAGTTATAAAGTCAAATTCTAAGGGAAAAAATTACTACTTTTTTTTTTTTTCAGAATAGTTTAATATCTCACAATTCTGACTTTATAACATGCAATTGCGACTTTATATCATGCAATTCTGACTTTATATCTCCCAATTGCGTAGGATATTATAAAGTCAGAATTGCAAGATAGGCTAATGCAATTCTGAGAAGAAAAAAAAGTCAGAATTTCAAGTAGCCTATATTTCTCACAATTGCTAGTTTATATCTCATAATTCTGACTTAACACGCAATTGCGACTTTATATCACGCAAATCTGACTTAATAACACGCAATTGCGACTTTATATCACGCAATACTGACGCAATACTTTATATCACGCAATACTTAATAACACGCAATACTTAATAACACGCAATTGCGACTTTATATCACGCAAATCTGACTTAATAACACGCAATTGCGACTTTATATCACGCAATACTGACTTTTTAAACCTGCAATTGCGACTTCATATAAATTCTGAGATAAAAAAAACAGAATAGTGAGATAAAAAGTCGCGATTACCTTTTTTTTTTTTCACTCTGTGGCGAAAACAAGCTTCCATACCATAGACATGTCT